TCTTCTTACACATTTGATCATAATGAAAATAGAATAGTGCAACACTACGTTTCAAGTTATGGGTACTGGCAAAGTTTCATATTTTTTCATTCCGTAGTTTTTGAGAATATACTGTTCGCAAAATTTGGCCTTAGCTCCATTAGTAGTAAGATACAAAGTATATAGTTCCATTTTTGTGATAGCTTCTCTCCCCCCCTCCCCCCTCTCTCTCTCCCCCTCTCTCTCTCTCTCTCTCTCTCTCTCTCTCTCTCTCTCTCTCTCTCTCTCTCTTTCAATTTTTCCCTTTCTGTTCCCATTCATTCTCTCTACAGTTTTACTAACATTGCACTGGTCAAAACGGCAAGAAAACAGAACATTTTATAGAACGTGCATTTTATGTTCCTTCTTAGACTTCATTATCTCTTACCATTTTATTAATAAATTATTATTTATTCGACCAGATAGTGGAAACTTGTGTGTGACCTTGTGACATTTTGAGTTATGAGCCACGCGGACATTATGAGATACCTGGTTGTTTCGGCTTGTCTGCTCACCTCCATGCTGACCAACGGTGTGGCAAAGGCTTCACAACCGTCCTGTGAGTATATTATTTGGATTTTTTTAAAATGTAGTTTTTTTTAACAACCCATCGACACCCATTAGATCATTTAAGAGGCGGGCTTTCGACCCTGCCGGTCAGGACCAATCCGTGCTGAGAAGGATGCAACATCCCAGCAGAAATACCGAAATACTCGATAACAATTTGGAACCCCGCTGGGGATTCAAAGTGAGGTCTCCTTGGTGCCACAGGGTAGTGCCTTACGGTTAAATCACAGACGCCGGTGGATATTAGGAGTTCAGTTCAGTGTGATATACGTACAGTGTACGTACAAGTCATTTTAGAACATCTCCATATTGCCTTCCACAATATTTTGTATCAAGTTTAAATGTCTGATTGTTTAGAAGAAATCCTCCCCTCCCTTTCCCCCTTCCAAACTCAAACTTGAAAGAACTTAATTTTGAATACATATTATATATATATATATATATATATATATATATATATATATATATATATATATATATATATATATATTTTCTATTCCTCACATATAAAGATAACATGGCGAAAACGGCTGAGTTAAATTTTGTTGATTCTTTGGAATTTTCATTTTAAAGTTAGAATTTTATATCTTACAAAGGAATCAAAACATTTCTATGTGCATTTTTAAGCTGGCCCTTCAGTTTTTTCTCTTTATAAGGGTTATGCTATGCTAAACAATAGTGTAATGAAGTCTCCTCAAAGTGATGATTAAGATTCTGCATGTGCAGTTGTTGTCCTCTGCATGTAGTCTTCACACGCGTGTGTCTTATTCTTCTATCTTGCCATTTGTTTCCGTCTTTTTCAATTTTCTAGCGATATCACTTTCCACTGTCCACAAAAATCCACACATTTGTTATTACTTTGATACTACTTTAGAAGCGGATTCTTACACAACTATATCTGGAAGTGCCTGTGTAATGAGCCCATAGTAGACTTGGGATCATCCTGGAAGCGGTTGGTAAGAGAGTACCACAACTAGGTCCTACTTCTTTTCATCTCCCTCTGTTGTTTCAGTCTATCTGCCTTGCTTCTTCCCAGCACTATATGACCGTTGTTGTGTCAAAGTGCTTCTCTTCACTTAAACGCAAATTTAATCTCATTCTTAGCTCTAGAGCAGATTTTTCTGTTTCGCTTCCGCAACAGGGTGTTTTTGAGCTTTGGTTGTTTTTTGGTTTTGTTTATTTTTAGTTGTCTACGTTCTCTCTCACTTTGCTTAAATATGGAGGTCCTGTCTCTAAATTAAATGTACCTTTTCTGCTGAGAGGGACAGAATGCTCATACCATACCATACCACACCATCAATTAGCTTACCATACCTTACCGTACCGTACCATAGTGTACCGTACCACAGCACACCGCAGTACAGCACAGTAGAGCACAATAGAGCACAGCACAGCATACCACATTCCATACCATACCATACAGTAACACAGTGGATTAGCTCATTTTTGTCTAGGACAATGGAATGATTCAGGGACACGTCAGTAGATTATGTAGTGGACGAGATGTTATAATGATGATATAGCACTGACTTGTACATGTATAACTGTATAGTGCAAATTCCTGTCCAACAGCAAGCTCTGTGCGTTTTACAATCTGTTGTTACCCCCAGCAGACCTGATAGCATTCATTTTGAAACAATCTCAACTTCCTATGAAGCATACTGTGCAAGCTGTCTTTCTAAAGGCACTAAAACACTAACGTACTGTAAAGACCATTTACTTCTCGGTGAAGCGAGGACGTATAAAGTGCCTTTTCACAATGACGCAACGTCGGGCCTGAGGCTCGAATCCCCGAACACGTCACCTCACGATTACGAGCCCGGTAGTATAAACACCAGACTACCGTCGCCGCAAGTTGCCTTGTACGGAAAAAATGGACATACAAGTTCGGACTGGACAATGTAACAAAATCTACTATAATGATTTATACTGAGCTCGGGTAAAAGGTGTAGAAAAAGTGGTTTTCACTGTAATTGCTTGTGCACAAAAGGTACACGCATAAGGAAACAAGATCTAGTCAAACTTGGTCTTGTATACAATTCTTCGATGTTTGTGAGTTCTCTTTTTGAAATATTCATTAAGTGGTTATTTTATACAGACTTCTTCTTTTCATGACGTTATTGTAATGCATAGTGGGGATTTGAAGAAAAGTACTATAGTATTTTTCTAGTTTTATAGCTTTACTTTAGAATTCAGCTGCTTTCCTTGGGAAATGTTTTCATTGGCATAATACATCAACACATTCAAGGCATTCATACACAAATACGTACAAACACTAATTTTGTCAACGTTACATGCATAACGAATAATACTCTACCAATATAGACAATCAACACACCATTGCTTTTTTGTCACGATGCAGTGTCCTGTTCTTGAGCCAGGGTTACCCCCGTATGATTGGTTAGCGGGTGCTCTGATGTGTGTTGTTCCTTCTTTCCTATCAAATGTCTATCGTCCTTATCTCTCTTGTAACACCTCTCTCATTTTTGACTCTTATATGACCTTATTGGGTTGCAAGTGCCGTAAAACTTTTACTAAAACTGAGGGTTATCGTGTCCTGAGTGAGAACACATCTTTATTGACCACCCACATAAACAGCATAGTCGTATTGATGCACTGTTTTCTTTCTTTCCGCTTGGCATTGATATAATTAAAAACAGACGTTTATTTCATATTCCCCCCCAGACTGCACCCTTCCCGCAAAAACTGGGAACTGCCGTGCCGCCATGACCCGATACTACTACAACCCAAGTAGCCAGTCATGTCAGTCATTTATTTATGGAGGTTGTCAGGGAAATGAAAACAACTTCCGCACGGAGTCTCTGTGTCGAGCGGCGTGCGTGTGTACTCAGGCAGCAAATAGAGGTAACCGTTGGGGGTGGGCATGCTTTTCTTCAAGACCCTATTTCTATGACGTAGATAACGGGCAATGCAAACGATTCGGCTACAGAGGCTGCAACGGAAATCCGAATCGTTTCTCAAACGCCGATCAGTGTAGTTTGGCATGTCTTACGTCACAATGTTTTCTTCCGCGGGAAGTAGGACTCTGTAGAGCTGCCTTTGGGCGTTTCTTCTACAACACCACCAGCCAGAAGTGTGAAAGCTTTCTCTACGGTGGCTGTCAAGGAAACCTGAATCGATTCGACACAGTGGAAGAATGTGACAGAAAATGCACCACGCCTATTCAGAATGAAGCGAATACAAATCAGAATTTCGAAGACACGATTTGTTTACAAGAAAAAAAGATCGGTACTTGTCGCGCTGCTTTCCCCAGGTACTTTTATAATTCTAAAACAAACAGATGCGAGTTTTTTTACTACGGCGGTTGTCAAGGAAACGAAAACAACTTTGCATCAAAGTCTGCTTGTACGAGTCGGTGTATGAGGCGGCGTAACAGAGGCAAGAGGGCCACTCTTGGTAGGATGACTAGAGAAGATTGCCAACTTCCACCAGACCAAGGAAACTGCCGAAACTTCGAGAAAGCTTTTTATTTCAATTCCAACACACAGAAATGCGAGGCGTTCACTTATGGCGGCTGTTTGGGGAATAAAAACAGGTTTGAATCCGTGGAAAGTTGTCAAGCTCAATGCATGCCTCCAGGACAAAACATCAAGAATTCAATTATTGGTGGAGGGTTGCGTGGTTTTAGAAATGCTCACACGCCTAAATTGGCGAGTACGCTGTTTGGGGGTTCTTTCCCTCCTCTTCTCAGTCTCTCCGATGATATTCGTACAACTCTAACTAAACCTTCCTCCCCTGGCGATGGAACTGACGGGGCCACTAAAAATGCTGCAAAATCACAAGAGCCCGCATTGAATCACTCCCAGCTTTTCCCCAAAGTCAGACCTGTATGCAAGTTACCCAAAGACAGAGGTCCTTGCTTGGGCCTCATGGAAGCGTATTACTACAACTCTGGTGCAAATGAATGTCAGAAATTCATGTACGGAGGGTGTCTCGGCAACGGGAATCGATTTCCAAATAAACTCTGGTGTGAACTCACCTGCAAGCAGACGATGAAACAGAATCAGTCAAGTTACCCCTCAGTGTCCTCAGATTGCCAACTTCCGCCAGAGACAGGCTTGTGTGAGGGATTCTTCAGCAGGTTCTTTTACAACTCTCGCACAGTGTGAACAGTTTGTGTATGGTGGCTGTGGAGGCAACAGGAATCGCTTCCATACCAACTCAGAGTGTGAAAAACAGTGCGGGCAGCAAACAGTTGAAAAAAAAGGACAAGGAATTTAACAGAACGAAATGAACATTTCATTTTCGAAGATCCAGATGATGAAGAATTGATCTGATTCTATTTTTAGAAACCCAACCATTTAACGCAACTTGTACCGCGGTGTCTACAGATGCCTGACTTCTGATTATTATCAAATCTGAACTCAAAAGAAAAATGAGAGATGTAGAAAAACAAAAAAGAAAAACCCCACAAGAGTAAATAAAAACAAACAAACAACAACACTAAAACAAAAACAAACAAACAACAACACTAAAACAAAAACAAACAAACAACAATACTAAAACAATAACTTTTGAATTGACACAAGAAGATACATCATTAGGGTGAATTGTAGTTCAAATTGAAAATAAATTGACACCTCGATAAAATTGTAAGTTCTAGGAGAAAGCAGAAATCCCTCCTAAAGGCCGATTCAAACGTATCTGTGTGTGGGGACGGAAGGGCGATGGCACAGTGGGGTTTGCAGAAATTGCACGGACCGGAGCGAAAGTGTCGCGGAGGCCTTGTATTTGTGTTTAGGCAACATCATACGAGGATGGATTTTGCCGAACAATTTCGATATGTTTTTCATAAATTGCAATTGAAAACTTTTTGCTCACTAGTGGTGATCAAGGAATCTCAAACAGCTAGACTTGTTTTTTTTTTGGGGGGGGTGGGGGGGTTTGGTAAGTGTTTTACGACACTTGCATCTGCAAAAGGCCATATGAGAGCGCGCGGGATACATTAAACATTTTCAGTTGGTAGGAAATTTCCATTTTTTTTTCTGGGTGGCGGCCAAAGTCTATTCTTATCCGTTTTAGATCACCAAGGGATCTTTAACGAGCGCAACTTGCACTCGAGACCTCCGAGATTTTTCGCCCTTGTCCGAGAATGCTAGGTGTTGATCTTTCCTACCAGAAGATCAGGGGTGTGGCAGAAAAACAGCAGTGAGAAGGAGCGAAAGAGTAGCAGTAAAAAGGGGTAGGAACTCAGAGAGGGGGGCAAAGGAGGTGGGGGCAGAAAGTGGAGACGAAAGCAGACAACAAAACAATGCTAGAGAGCAGGAAAGGAGGGGAAAGGAGACAATTTTAGAGAAGAACATTTTTCCGTCGTTGCCCGGATTCGAACCCGGGACCTTTGAATGAGAGGCGAACACCTTAACTTCTAGGCCACGAGAGCCCCCAGCTAGTCTCTTGATCTACAATCAATCTTCGCTTGCAATGCAACAGGAAAACACACCAACACCACTGCTGGACCTAGTGTGTCGACACATGGGGGCCTACATCTATGTTTGCGTGCGCGCGCGCGCGCGCGCGCGCGCGTGTGTGTGTGTGTGTGTGTGTGTGTTTGTGTTTGTCTTCCAATCCTCTCGTCCACATCGAGGCAGGTTAAAATATTCAATTTTTAAAAAATCTAGCCGGCTAGGTTTTTAAAATAGGAATAATAATTTTAGGCCCTAATATTGAGGCGCTGATTTAAAGGATGGGCTTATTTTGTAGATCCATTCAATATTATAAAATTTTCGTCGATCAATTTTGAAAATTTTGAACCTCCAGTAGGTACAGAGGTACATGCGCCGCGACGGTGTCTCAAAATTCGCTCACGGAAGCGGTCGCTGAAACACTGCCAAGGTTCTGCGGCGGTATTCCGTCTCATGAGAACAGCTTGTGAGCCAACAGAAAACAATGGTTTCCAAACACTTATTTCTATCACTGTTCCGTCGCCGTACACCGCTCCATCTGAAAGTTGGGTCCTCTGACGATCATTTTTCACCCCTCTATATCAATGCACAAGTTGTATAAATTTATACGAACGTACACGTGGTTGGAATGATTATGAACTGCTTAATATGTACAAAACTAAAGTACCCACTATCGCACAAACACACACACACACACACACACACACACACACACACACACACACACACACACACACACACACATACACACACACACAAACACACATGCAATATTATTTATACATATCATCACAATATAACATATAAGTACACACACACACACAAACACATACACATATAATGTATATATATATATATATATATATATATATATATATATATATATATATATATATATATATATATTTATAATATAGATAGGTAGATAGAAATGTAGCTGGACATAGACACAACAATTATATTTCTGAATATAATTATATATAATGTAATACATAGTATTTTTTATATTTATAAACTACACAAACATACGCTAGGTATATCAATGCACATGCATTATATACATTAAGCATTCTATACTCGGAAACACTCATCAAGGATTCATTTTCTTACGAATTTGTGAACAGACGACAGCTACAGAATGAGTGAAGTTAAGGACAGTCTCATGTTGAAGCACGGACCAGCGCCCGGTAGCACCTCGGCGTGACACATATGTGTTCGCTACGTCTTCAAAGTGGTAATGCTAGATGCCTTATTGGCCATAAGGCCTAGTTTTGACAGTGGCAGGCAGGGGCGAAGGCTGACTTGTTTGACAGGGTAATCGAAGTGAAACGAGACCAGATAATTATGGCCTGGAGATATAACACAAGAATCTTACTTGAGGCGGTGAGTTGTGTGTGAGTGAATGGAAAAAAATCCGGAATTCATCACTGTATTTTCAATCGCCCAAATAATCGGGAAAGTATCTCATTAAATATCAATTCCAACTAAAACTAAATTTAACTTTATATGTGAATACACAAACACAAAGCAAAGAAGCAGAGATGTCAGTACTAGATCTATATGCTATAGATCTACCAGGGAGTATACTCTTTGGTAGAACATGACAATTATCATTTTTTTATTTCACATTTGGCTGTTTTTGTCTAGCCTTTCGCAGCCAGGAGCAGGTGTCATAATCGATCTGATTATAGGACGGTAAAAAGTCGAGGAAACAAAACAAGCACTCGCAGCAGTCTGGATATTTTTAAGAGTTAGTTCCTCGCACATCTGTGAAGTAGACACGACCAGTGTAATAGTAAGCTTACATAATCAGGGCTTGTGACTGCTTATAACTGTGGCATGAAAGGGGTGAACAGGGTATATGTGGCAATGAAACAGTTTTGACTGCTATGCACACGTTTCCTTCAACTCTATTGGTAGACTCTTCCAGCCTCACTTTAAGCTTACTTAATCAAAGCTTGTGACTGCTTATGGAGTGGCCCGAGAGGGGTGAGCAGGCTATAATTTCTGTGGCAGTGAAACCGTCTTGAATGTTAGGCATACTGTTCATTGTTGATTATGAACGACTTTTTACTTTTAATTTATGAGGTTTACGTTTATGGGTGAATTTGACTGCGACAATGTTTCAAAATTAGGAAGTGAAGCAGTGATTATTCAATTATATAGACGCTTCGCCACTGGTGGCAGGGAATACAATGTAATTAATGTAAAGTAAAAAAAACAACAAACAAACACTCGTGGTGTGCTGTGGGTAGTAATGGAAAACCTTTAGCTACTATGTAAGACTACTTAGATGGTTTGAAATAAAGGCTCATCTCACGGATTCTGGCGTTTCTTTTTTTGTCCTTCTGACCCTGTGGTTATTATTGTGTTAGAAAGCATTTTACGGCACTTGCAAAGCAATCATTAGGTCATATACGTGCCGAAGATTTGAGGCATTACAAGAGAGCCAAAAAAACTCAAACAGTGAGAGATAAGGACGTTAGATTTACATAGGAAAGAAAGAGCAAACCACAGAACTTAAAGGAAATGGGTTGAAAAGGGGGGGGGGTTGTTCTTTTCTTAAAAAACCAGACACAATAAGTTGTAATCTGTTAGTTAAGTAGATGTTAAAGCTCTTATTATCACGACTATATCTGTTATGGCAACTGAGACAAGTTTCTCCTCGTATCTACAACTGCGGTGGAACGTTTTGATGGACAGCATTTCTTTTTTTATGCCTACAGGGAGAGTGATTGAAAGGACTGTAAATATTTTACGTCAAAACGAGATCACAATTTAGGTCATTTAGGAGGTGGGCAGTTCCAGATCTGCATGGGAGGACAAATTGGAGTTGATGGGATACATCTCTGCAGACAGAGGGTATATAATGCTAATAAAAATAAGAATAAGAATAAGATTAAGAATAATAATAAAAATAAGAATAAAATAAGAATAATGATAGTGACAATATTAATAATAATAATAATAATAATAATAATAATAATAAGAAGAAGAAGAAGAAGAAGAAGAAGAAGAAGAAGAAGAAGAAGAAGAAGAAGAAGAAGAAGAAGAAGAAGAAGAAGAAGAAGAAGAAGAAGAAGAAGAAGAAGAAGAAGAAGAAGAAGAAGAAGAAGAAGAAGAAGAAGAAGAAGAAGAAGAAGAAGAAGAAGAAGAAGAAGAAGAAGAAGAAGAGGAGGAAGAATAGTGACAATAATAGTAATAATAATAATAATAATAATAATAATAATAATAATAATAATAATAATAATAATAATAATAATAATAATAAATAATAAATAATAATAATGATAATAGCAAATGCATAGCTGGCTCAAATTCCCGATCCTCAGCAAGCTCTATGCACTCCACAATCCATTATTATTGCCCCAGTATTATGGAACAATCTGCAATTCCTGGGAAGAAAACAGTGCAGGCTGCCATTTTACAGGCGTTAAAACACTAACATACGGACAAAATCTTTCAATGTCTATTGCTGGGTACCCATTCCTACGTGGCTGAAGTGGGGAAACTTCGTGTAAAATGCCTTTCCCAGGAACACAACGTTAGACAGAGCTAAGACTCGAGTAACCCCATAATCCGCAACCTCACGATTACGAGTTGGGTAGCCTAACCACTGGACAAGCCAAGGACGAAATCAGACTCGGCAGCTATCTGCAATTCTGAACTACCTGCTGGTTGTATATTGTAAAAATTTTACGCCCCTGTTGACACTTTCAGGTTTTTTTAGGAAACAGACGGCTCCCAAGCTTGCATGCCATGGGCAGCTGGGGCAGGGTGGGATGCAACATTCCGACAGGCTGTCGG